ACAGCTTTATTTATTTGTCAAATTACATAGAAACCAACGCCAACCCAGCACAATATTTTTTCTACTCGTAATAAATTCCTTGAAATAATAATTTCTAGGTATTTTCTATACATCTCTGGTTTTTCCTGTTTAAATTTTATTTCTTTCTTCGGTTTCATTCTTATGCTCCAGTACTTTGACTTCTTCTTCAGCGAGTTCAACAGCTAGTGTGATTCATGAAGGTAATTTGCATTTACCTGATCTAAATCAGCATTTGTTTTAATTTGGCAATTTTTTATGAGTAAGAATGCATTTGTTTGGATACTGTGTATATTGTATATTATTCTTTATTCTCTACATGTTTTATATTCTCTATAAAGACGATTTCCAAAACAAATGACTTCAAAAAACTCTTAAAAATGCACCCCTAAGTGCCATGGACGTGTTTTAGTCGATATAGGTCCGGAAAATCTTGGTAACTTGTTTTAGGGAAACCGAAATTTATTATTTCTCTGTTGGTCCTTGACAAATGGTTCGCAACTGTCTAAGCTGTCTTTATAAAACGGTCTCGAATGGAGATTTGCGAATGAAAATAAAGAATCTGACGTACGAATTACCCATGACAAATAATAGTCGGTTTTGTGGCATTAAAAAAGAAAAATGAGGCATTAAAAAAGCTTCTGTGCAAAATGATAAACAATGTTGTTATGTAGAGATACTTTTTTAACGTACATTTTAACATAAACCATTTCTTGAGTACTAAACTAGTATTGGAATATTATATTTTCGGTAAATTATGGACTATAATTGGATTTAATCGGATTTTATTTACCATAATCTTAAAATGTATGATTATCATTTGCTACTAAGAAAAAATATATTTGAGAGAAACTATTCAGTCAACTTCACAATATTTATTATTGTTTGAACAGCAATTTTTATTTTTTAATACTTAAAATATAAAATAAATAATGTATATTTTTCGTACAGTTAAATAGATCTACCACTTTTTAACATAAATCTTGACAAAAACCAATTCTTCAGTATTAAACAGGTTGGTTCGTTCGTTATTGAAATTCCAATTAGCAGAATTACCGTTTTTAGACCACTTACTCTGAGATCCTATTCCTAGGGAAGGTACAATGGGATTGTTAAGTGTTTATAAACCATTCGTTGACATCGAGGAAACTTATGACTTCTGTTATGCTTTTCCTGGTTACATTTAAGATCTACGAAGCTATAGCTTTCGAGGAAAGAATTTTTGGTCCTATACAAAGCCGTAGGACTGTTTCCCCTTTTTTCGGGTCCTTGCAGCTTTGGCATAATTCGCGCCTTCACGCCGTTAGCCTGGCGATATCCTTTCTCAATTTCCTAAGGTCGTAAGGGACAAGTTTTTCTGGCTATTGTGCAGGTGTTTAAAGTTTTCAATTTACTGCTCGTCATAGATATAACGTGGAGAGAAATTCTTTACGGTAAGGCGAGTTATACAGGGTGGTTCGAACTGTATTACGGAAACTTAGGGAGCATATTCTGCAGATAAAAAGAAGTAAAAAACTTCTAATAAATATATGTCCTAAAATGCTAAGTTTCGGAGATACAGGGTGTAGAAATTTCATTTTTATTTCGATTTTTTCCAAATAATTTCTGAAGTAAAGTAAATATTTGGATGAAAATTGGTGTCTAATAGTTTTTTGACATGAGAAATTTGATTTTGATGTCATTATGATTCCTATTTGTAGAGGGCGCCACCTACATGTGATTTAACTGTTTTGAAGAGTAATAACTTTTTGTCCGTATCTGTATAGAACTGCTGAGTTAAAAAATATACATTTTCGTATTTTTTTACGTAAAAAATGTCTCTTGGTAAACATCGTTACGAGCAACCCTTCTCGAGATATTTAGAATGGGAATAGTCAATACATGTCATTATTGACAAAAAATAAACATGATGAGTAGATAGCTTATTGGACTAAAAAGATAAATTTGGAAAATTTTTAAATTAATTAACTAAAATTAAAATTTTAACCGCGTTTTTTGCAAAAAATAGATAAAAAATTGCACACCCGACTGCATATGTCTTGTCATCAAAGCTCTACTAAACAAGACTGATGCACACCACTGCTTCTAGTTGCATAAATTTGGCGCTAAATTTAAAAATGTGACTAAACCATGTAATTATCAATTTCGCCCCAAACTACGGTAAATCATATTTATTTGTGGATTCCAATCCATTAGCATTGTACCTACCTGTTTTTTTTATATTTTTTAACTTCAACTCTTTCAATGAAGAAAGCCTAGCTTTTTTTTCAAAAACAGGACAGTTTTTCTAATATATACGTACTATATAGAGAGAACTTCTCTAGCTTTACTAATTTCACTGAGAATAGCAGATATATGCAAACAATATGTGTCTTCTGAATTTCTTTGTACTATTGCAGTATTATTCTTTTTTAATTTCCATAATAATTAACAAGAACTAATAATTAAAAAAATATTTTTTTTCTTTACTTATAGAAGCATTATAACTGCCTTTAATATCTTTATCGAATAAGGCAATAAAGACCTTGTCCGATTGTAGTAGCTTTACTTCAAAAGATCCAAACGAGCTGGTTCTTTTATTTTTATTGTTAACAGAAAGGCCATACCGCGTCGCCGGTTGCATACGCTAAAAGGAATAGAAAGGATATGCCAGACTTCGTTAGATCCGGAAAACGGCTCATTTTAATATAAGGGCGAATGTATTTTTCAGCGGAAATTAGGGATTGTGATATTTAAGAAACAGTATCGATATTTAAAGATTATTGACACTTTTTTTTAAATATATCGATATTTTTTGGGTTCTGTAACAAAAAGAAAAAACAGAACCTTTATAAGATCACTTTGTTGTCTGTCCGTCTGTCTCTCCGTGCATAAAGACCTTATATTTCGGGAACGCGTTGAAGTATCGAGTTCAAATTAAAACTAAACAGGATGTCAAAGAAATAATGTATCTAACTTTAGTGGGTGATTCTACAGATAAAAGTATAACAAAAAATATGTCCTAAAATGCTTTCCGATGAAGTTAACTAAAATATTTTTTTTAAAGAAAATTAATATTATATCTAGATATCGTTAAAATAAAAACACTAAATCACCACAATACACCAAAACACTTTTACTTTTACACTGGACGCGCGTTTCGCTAACCATGTTAGCATCATCAGCAGATGATTATAAACTAAAGTACAATCTACAAGTTGAGCGTTTATATACTCGCCCAGTGGGCACCGAGTGGGCGTGGCAAAAACTAGCCAACCGAGTCAGAGCCAACTGAGCGTAACAGTTAAATTTCCCCCACTAGAGTAGTAGGAACAACAAACTTGAAGGAATGGGACCGTTGTCTCTGTTCATACTATCTTTACATTTATTAATTCTGATGCTTTCATATGCATCTAATTGCCTGTAATTTGAGATTTGTTTAATTAATTTTAAATTATTAAGATCTATACAATGTTCTTTATCAACAATATGTTCGGCAACGCAAGATTTATCCGGTTTACCATATCTTATCTGAGCTAAATGTTCTTTAAATCTAGTTAATATTGATTTTCTAGTTTGCCCAACATATTTCTGATTACAATCTTTACAAGAAATTTCATAAATACCCGACCTTTCCAGTGGAGGTGTTTTATCCTTTGGATTACCTAATAATTGTTGTAATTTATTATTAGCACTATACACAAGTTTATAATTTACATTCTTCAAAATTCCTTTTAGACCACGGGATAACTCTCTATCAAACGGCATCGAAAAATATTTAGACGTGTCTTTCTCCACTTGAAAAGTCGAATTTTCAGAAATCATTAACCTATACCTACGTTTTCTAATTAATTTATCAACTAGTGAAGGAGAATATCCATTACACTCAGCTACATTCCTAATGTAATCTCTTTCTATTTCATATCTTTCTTTGGAAAGTGGGAAACTAAGTTATCTATGAACTAGGAAATTTAAACTAGCCATTTTATGTTCAACACTATGATGTGATTCATTAGGAATATATCTGCGTGTGGTCGTATTTTTCCTATAGATATTAAATTCCAGGCAATTATTAATATTTCTAATAACTCATACATCTAGAAATGGTAATCTGTCGTTGTTCTCAATTTCATGCGTAAATTTAATGGAAGGAAAACGATTATTTAACTTAGAAATAAAATTATCTATGGTGTCTGAATGTGTGTCAAAAACAGCAAAAATATCATCCACATACCTAAACCAAACTCTTGGAAAATACTCAAACTGATTCCTAGCCTCCACTTCTATCGTTATTTCAAAATCGATATTCTGATACATCGATATAATTTATACATCCCTACTGCAAATCCACCGCTGGGTTACTATTTCCTACTGTAAAATTCGCTGCTGTCGTGTTCGCTTTTACAAAAGTCCCCAATTTGTCAAGATTTAAGCTATGCCAAAAGGAAATAACAACGTATAGGATTTTTTTCCACACTCTGTGTGTGCTTTTCCGAAACTGGTTACCTATGGTTATATAATTAACATATATGATTATCGACCTTATATTACACCCTTTTCTTCATAATATTAAAGGTCTAATAAATATGATTAGTACAAATCTGCTTTTTTAAATATTTATTATTTAAAAAAGCAGATTTGTACTATAGAATATGCTTTTGAAATATCTGATACTATATACTTTCTTTTTTAAAAATTTACATGTTAGTTAGACTTATGTCTCTATTATTTTTTTATTATTCTCTCTATAGAGGATGTACCAAAAGTTTGAAAACCTAACAACTTAATAATAAATAAGAAACCTCTCTTTTAAACTTTTTGGAACGCCCTGTACATTAATGCTAAGGACGAATAAACATGTCGAAAAAGGTTAAGTAAAACAAAATAAAAAACAAAAATGTTTAATAGAAACAAACTAAAAAATATAAGTACAATATTTTAGGGTATATGAAATAAAACAATTTTATTTCTATATATCAATATAATTTTCTATAAACGTTTACGTCAAAATATCGTTGGAAGCTGCAAAGCTTCTGGTCAATCTTAGTCTTCACTGTATCCAGGAGGCCTTATGTATCCAGTAATTTCCAATAATTGCTGTATTTCTTGATTGAGCTCGATTCTGAAAAGAAAAGAATGTTAAGGTTAGCAAATTAAAAGAAGAAATAGAACAACTTACTGTCAAAAAATAAGAAAAGAATAGTTGTATATTTTGATGATGAATTTTGAATATCCGTGGTATCGACAGAGCTTCTGGTCAGTCATGGTCTTCACTGTATCCAGGTGGTCATCTGTATCCAGTAATTTGCAAGGATTGCTGTATTCCCTACTTGGGCTTGATTCTGAAAAGAAAAAGAATGTTAACGTTAACAAATCAAAAGAAAAAATAGAACTGTCAAACTTACTGTCAAAAAGTAACAAAAGAATAGTTGTGTATTCTGATGATGCATTCTGTATATCCGTGGTATCGACAGCATGATATTCTATAGCTATGGTGAGCGACATCTTACATCATTGGGCTTGAACCTGAAATAATAGTGAATGACGAGGAGATGACCAAGAATAATTTCATCTCCTAATTTCGCGAACCCGGAGAAAATATTAGAATTATCGCAGAGCTTCTGGTCAGTCATAGTCTACACTGTATGCAGGTGATCATCTGTATCCAGTAATTTCCAACAATTGCTATTTCTTGCTTGAGCTTGATTCTGAAAAGAAAAGTGAAAGTTAAGGTTAGCAAATTAAAAGAAGAAATAGAACAACTTACTGTTAAAAAGTAAGAAAAGAATAGTTGTATATTTTGATGATGAATTTTGAATATCCGTGGTATCGACAGAGCTTCTGGTCAGTCATAGTCTTCACTGTATCCAGGTTGTCATCTGTATCCATTAATTTGTAAGGATTGCTGTATTCCTGCTTGGGCTTGATTCTGAAAGAGAAAAGAATGTTAACGTTAACAAATCAAAAGAAAAAATAGAACTGTCAAACTTACTGTCAAAAAGTAACAAAAGAATAGTTGTGTATTCTGATGATGCATTCTGTATATCCGTGGTATCGACAGCATGATATTCTATAGCAATGGTGAGCGACATCTTACATCATTGGGCTTGAACCTGAAATAATAGCGACTGACGAGGAGATGACCAAGAATAATTTCATCTCCTAATTTCGCGAACCCGGAGAAAATATTAGAATTATCGCAGAGCTTCTGGTCAGTCATAGTCTACACTGTATGCAGGTGATCATCTGTATCCAGTAATTTCCAATAATTGCTGTATTTCTTGATTGAGCTCGATTCTGAAAGAAAAGAATGTTAAGGTTAGCAAATTAAAAAGAAGAAATAGAACAACTTACTGTCAAAAATATAAGAAAAGAATAGTTGTATATTTTGATGATGAATTTTGAATATCCGTGGTATCGACAGAGCTTCTGGTCAGTCCTCTAGTCTTCACTGTATCCAGGTTGTCATCTGTATCCATTATTAATTTGTAAGGATTGCTGTATTCCCTGCTTGGGCTTGATTCTGAAAAGAAAAAGAATGTTAACGTTAACAAATCAAAAGAAAAAATAGAACTGTCAAACTTACTGTCAAAAAGTAACAAAAGAATAGTTGTGTATTCTGATGATGCATTCTGTATATCCGTGGTATCGACAGCATGATATTCTATAGCAATGGTGAGCGACATCTTACATCATTGGGCTTGAACCTGAAATAATAGTGACTGACGAGGAGATGACCAAGAATAATTTCATCTCCTAATTTCGCGAACCCGAGAAAATATTAGAATTATCGCAGAGCTTCTGGTCAGTCATAGTCTACACTGTATGCAGGTGATCATCTGTATCCAGTAATTTCCAATAATTGCTGTATTTCTTGCTTGAGCTTGATTCTGAAAAGAAAGAAAGTTAAGGTTAGCAAATTAAAAAGAAGAAATAGAACAACTTACTGTTAAAAAGTAAGAAAAGAATAGTTGTATATTTTGATGATGAATTTTTGAATATCCGTGGTATCGACAGAGCTTCTGGTCAGTCATAGTCTTCACTGTATCCAGGTTGTCATCTGTATCCATTAATTTGTAAGGATTGCTGTATTCCCTGCTTGGGCTTGATTCTGAAAAAGAAAAAGAACGTTAACGTTAACAAATCAAAAGAAAATAGAACTGTCAAACTTACTGTCAAAAAGTAACAAAAGAATAGTTGTGTATTCTGATGATGCATTCTGTATATCCGTGGTATCGACAGCATGATATTCTATAGCAATGGTGAGCGACATCTTACATCATTGGGCTTGAACCTGAAATAATAGCGACTGACGAGGAGATGACCAAGAATAATTTCATCTCCTAATTTCGCGAACCCGGAGAAAATATTAGAATTATCGCAGAGCTTCTGGTCAGTCATAGTCTACACTGTATGCAGGTGATCATCTGTATCCAGTAATTTCCAATAATTGCTGTATTTCTTGATTGAGCTCGATTCTGAAAAAGAAAAGAATGTTAAGGTTAGCAAATTAAAAGAAGAAATAGAACAACTTACTGTCAAAAATATAAGAAAAGAATAGTTGTATATTTTGATGATGAATTTTGAATATCCGTGGTATCGACAGAGCTTCTGGTCAGTCATAGTCTTCACTGTATCCAGGTTGTCATCTGTATCCATTAATTTGTAAGGATTGCTGTATTCCCTGCTTGGGCTTGATTCTGAAAAGAAAAAAGAATGTTAACGTTAACAAATCAAAAGAAAAAAAATAGAACTGTCAAACTTACTGTCAAAAAGTAACAAAAGAATAGTTGTGTATTCTGGATGATGCATTCTGTATATCCGTGGTATCGACAGCATGATATTCTATAGCAATGGTGAGCGACATCTTACACATCATTGGGCTTGAACCTGAAATAATAGTGACTGACGAGGAGATGACCAAGAATAATTTCATCTCCTAATTTCAATGAACCCGGAGAAAATATTAGAATTATCGCAGAGCTTCTGGTCAGTCATAGTCTACACTGTATGCAGGTGATCATCTGTATCCAGTAATTTCCAATAATTGCTGTATTTCTTGCTTGAGCTTGATTCTGAAAAAGAAAAGAAAGTTAAGGTTAGCAAATTAAAAGAAGAAATAGAACAACTTACTGTTAAAAAAGTAAGAAAAGAATAGTTGTATATTTTGATGATGAATTTTGAATATCCGTGGTATCGACAGAGCTTCTGGTCAGTCATAGTCTTCACTGTATCCAGGTTGTCATCTGTATCCATTAATTTGTAAGGATTGCTGTATTCCCTGCTTGGGCTTGATTCTGAAAAGAAAAGAATGTTAACGTTAACAAATCAAAAGAAAAAATAGAACTGTCAAACTTACTGTCAAAAGTAACAAAAGAATAGTTGTGTATTCTGATGATGCATTCTGTATATCCGTGGTATCGACAGCATGATATTCTATAGCAATGGTGAGCGACATCTTACATCATTGGGCTTGAACCTGAAATAATAGTGACTGACGAGGAGATGACCAAGAATAATTTCATCTCCTAATTTCGCGAACCCGGAGAAAATATTAGAATTATCGCAGAGCTTCTGGTCAGTCATAGTCTACACTGTATGCAGGTGATCATCTGTATCCAGTAATTTCCAATAATTGCTGTATTTCTTGCTTGAGCTTGATTCTGAAAAGAAAAGAAAGTTAAGGTTAGCAAATTAAAAGAAGAAATAGAACAACTTACTGTTAAAAAGTAAGAAAAGAATAGTTGTATATTTTGATGATGAATTTTGAATATCCGTGGTATCGACAGAGCTTCTGGTCAGTCATAGTCTTCACTGTATCCAGGTTGTCATCTGTATCCATTAATTTGTAAGGATTGCTGTATTCCCTGCTTGGGCTTGATTCTGAAAGAAAAGAACGTTAACGTTAACAAATCAAAAGAAAAAATAGAACTGTCAAACTTACTGTCAAAAAAGTAACAAAAGAATAGTTGTGTATTCTGATGATGCATTCTGTATATCCGTGGTATCGACAGCATGATATTCTATAGCAATGGTGAGCGACATCTTACATCATTGGGCTTGAACCTGAAATAATAGCGACTGACGAGGAGATGACCAAGAATAATTTCATCTCCTAATTTCGCGAACCCGGAGAAAATATTAGAATTATCGCAGAGCTTCTGGTCAGTCATAGTCGACACTGTATGCAGGTGATCATCTGTATCCAGTAATTTCCAATAATTGCTGTATTTCTTGCTTGAGCTTGATTCTGAAAAGAAAAGAAAGTTAAGGTTAGCAAATTAAAAGAAGAAATAGAACAACTTACTGTTAAAAGTAAGAAAAGAATAGTTGTATATTTTGATGATGAATTTTGAATATCCGTGGTATCGACAGAGCTTCTGGTCAGTCATAGTCTTCACTGTATCCAGGTTGTCATCTGTATCCATTAATTTGTAAGGATTGCTGTATTCCCTGCTTGGGCTTGATTCTGAAAAGAAAAAGAATGTTAACGTTAACAAATCAAAAGAAAAAAATAGAACTGTCAAACTTACTGTAAAAAAGTAACAAAAGAATAGTTGTGTATTCTGATGATGCATTCTGTATATCCGTGGTATCGACAGCATGATATTCTATAGCAATGGTGAGCGACATCTTACATCATTGGGCTTGAACCTGAAATAATAGTGACTGACGAGGAGATGACCAAGAATAATTTCATCTCCTAATTTCGCGAACCCGGAGAAAATATTAGAATTATCGCAGAGCTTCTGGTCAGTCATAGTCTACACTGTATGCAGGTGATCATCTGTATCCAGTAATTTCCAATAATTGCTGTATTTCTTGCTTGAGCTTGATTCTGAAAAAGAAAAGAAGTTAAGGTTAGCAAATTAAAAGAAGAAATAGAACAACTTACTGTTAAAAAGTAAGAAAAAGAATAGTTGTATATTTTGATGATGAATTTTGAATATCCGTGGTATCGACAGAGCTTCTGGTCAGTCATAGTCTTCACTGTATCCAGGTTGTCATCTGTATCCATTAATTTGTAAGGATTGCTGTATTCCCTGCTTGGGCTTGATTCTGAAAAGAAAAGAATGTTAACGTTAACAAATCAAAAGAAAAAAATAGAACTGTCAAACTTACTGTCAAAAAGTAACAAAAGAATAGTTGTGTATTCTGGATGATGCATTCTGTATTATCCGTGGTATCGACAGCATGATATTCTATAGCAATGGTGAGCGACATCTTACATCATTGGGCTTGAACCTGAAATAATAGCGACTGACGAGGAGATGACCAAGAATAATTTCATCTCCTAATTTCGCGAACCCGGAGAAAATATTAAGAATTATCGCAGAGCTTCTGGTCAGTCATAGTCTACACTGTATGCAGGTGATCATCTGTATCCAGTAATTTCCAATAATTGCTGTATTTCTTGATTGAGCTCGATTCTGAAAAAGAAAAGAATGTTAAGGTTAGCAAATTAAAAGAAGAAATAGAACAACTTACTGTCAAAAATAAGAAAAGAATAGTTGTATATTTTGATGATGAATTTTGAATATCCGTGGTATCGACAGAGCTTCTGGTCAGTCATAGTCTTCACTGTATCCAGGTTGTCATCTGTATCCATTAATTTGTAAGGATTGCTGTATTCCCTGCTTGGGCTTGATTCTGAAAAGAAAAAGAATGTTAACGTTAACAAATCAAAAGAAAAAATAGAACTGTCAAACTTACTGTCAAAAAGTAACAAAAGAATAGTTGTGTATTCTGATGATGCATTCTGTATTATCCGTGGTATCGACAGCATGATATTCTATAGCAATGGTGAGCGACATCTTACATCATTGGGCTTGAACCTGAAATAATAGCGACTGACGAGGAGATGACCAAGAATAATTTCATCTCCTAATTTCGCGAACCCGGAGAAAATATTAGAATTATCGCAGAGCTTCTGGTCAGTCATAGTCTACACTGTATGCAGGTGATCATCTGTATCCAGTAATTTCCAATAATTGCTGTATTTCTTGATTGAGCTCGATTCTGAAAAGAAAAGAATGTTAAGGTTAGCAAATTAAAAGAAGAAATAGAACAACTTACTGTCAAAAAATAAGAAAAGAATAGTTGTATATTTTGATGATGAATTTTGAATATCCGTGGTATCGACAGAGCTTCTGGTCAGTCATAGTCTTCACTGTATCCAGGTTGTCATCTGTATCCATTAATTTGGTAAGGATTGCTGTATTCCCTGCTTGGGCTTGATTCTGAAAAGAAAAAGAATGTTAACGTTAACAAATCAAAGAAAAATAGAACTGTCAAACTTACTGTCAAAAAAGTAACAAAAGAATAGTTGTGTATTCTGATGATGCATTCTGTATTATCCGTGGTATCGACAGCATGATATTCTATAGCAATGGTGAGCGACATCTTACATCATTGGGCTTGAACCTGAAATAATAGCGACTGACGAGGAGATGACCAAGAATAATTTCATCTCCTAATTTCGCGAACCCGGAGAAAATATTAGAATTATCGCAGAGCTTCTGGTCAGTCATAGTCTACACTGTATGCAGGTGATCATCTGTATCCAGTAATTTCCAATAATTGCTGTATTTCTTGATTGAGCTCTCGATTCTGAAAAGAAAAGAATGTTAAGGTTAGCAAATTAAAAGAAGAAATAGAACAACTTACTGTCAAAAAATAAGAAAAGAATAGTTGTATATTTTGATGATGAATTTTGAATATCCGTGGTATCGACAGAGCTTCTGGTCAGTCATAGTCTTCACTGTATCCAGGTTGTCATCTGTATCCATTAATTTGTAAGGATTGCTGTATTCCCTGCTTGGGCTTGATTCTGAAAAGAAAAAGAATGTTAACGTTAACAAATCAAAAGAAAAAATAGAACTGTCAAACTTACTGTCAAAAAGTAACAAAAGAATAGTTGTGTATTCTGATGATGCATTCTGTATATCCGTGGTATCGACAGCATGATATTCTATAGCAATGGTGAGCGACATCTTACATCATTGGGCTTGAACCTGAAATAATAGTGACTGACGAGGAGATGACCAAGAATAATTTCATCTCCTAATTTCGCGAACCGGGAGAAAATATTAGAATTATCGCAGAGCTTCTGGTCAGTCATAGTCTACACTGTATGCAGGTGATCATCTGTATCCAGTAATTTCCAATAATTGCTGTATTTCTTGATTGAGCTCGATTCTGAAAAGAAAAGAATGTTAAGGTTAGCAAATTAAAAGAAGAAATAGAACAACTTACTGTCAAAAATAAGAAAAGAATAGTTGTATATTTTGATGATGAATTTTGAATATCCGTGGTATCGACAGAGCTTCTGGTCAGTCATAGTCTTCACTGTATCCAGGTTGTCATCTGTATCCATTAATTTGTAAGGATTGCTGTATTCCCTGCTTGGGCTTGATTCTGAAAAGAAAAAGAATGTTAACGTTAACAAATCAAAGGAAAAATAGAACTGTAAACTTACTGTCAAAAAGTAACAAAAGAATAGTTGTGTATTCTGATGATGCATTCTGTATATCCGTGGTATCGACAGCATGATATTCTATAGCAATGGTGAGCGACATCTTACATCATTGGGCTTGAACCTGAAATAATAGTGACTGACGAGGAGATGACCAAGAATAATTTCATCTCCTAATTTCGCGAACCCGGAGAAAATATTAGAATTATCGCAGAGCTTCTGGTCAGTCATAGTCTACACTGTATGCAGGTGATCATCTGTATCCAGTAATTTCCAATAATTGCTGTATTTCTTGCTTGAGCTTGATTCTGAAAAGAAAAGAAAGTTAAGGTTAGCAAATTAAAAGAAGAAATAGAACAACTTACTGTTAAAAAGTAAGAAAAGAATAGTTGTATATTTTGATGATGAATTTTGAATATCCGTGGTATCGACAGAGCTTCTGGTCAGTCATAGTCTTCACTGTATCCAGGTTGTCATCTGTATCCATTAATTTGTAAGGATTGCTGTATTCCCTGCTTGGGCTTGATTCTGAAAAGAAAAAGAATGTTAACGTTAACAAATCAAAAGAAAAAATAGAACTGTCAAACTTACTGTCAAAAAGTAACAAAAGAATAGTTGTGTATTCTGATGATGCATTCTGTATATCCGTGGTATCGACAGCATGATATTCTATAGCAATGGTGAGCGACATCTTACATCATTGGGCTTGAACCTGAAATAATAGTGACTGACGAGGAGATGACCAAGAATAATTTCATCTCCTAATTTCGCGAACCCGGAGAAAATATTAGAATTATCGCAGAGCTTCTGGTCAGTCATAGTCTACACTGTATGCAGGTGATCATCTGTATCCAGTAATTTCCAATAATTGCTGTATTTCTTGCTTGAGCTTGATTCTGAAAAGAAAAAAGAAAGTTAAGGTTAGCAAATTAAAGAAGAAATAGAACAACTTACTGTTAAAAAGTAAGAAAAGAATAGTTGTATATTTTGATGATGAATTTTGAATATCCGTGGTATCGACAGAGCTTCTGGTCAGTCATAGTCTTCACTGTATCCAGGTTGTCATCTGTATCCATTAATTTGTAAGGATTGCTGTATTCCCTGCTTGGGCTTGATTCTGAAAAGAAAAGAATGTTAACGTTAACAAATCAAAAGAAAAAATAGAACTGTCAAACTTACTGTCAAAAAGTAACAAAAAGAATAGTTGTGTATTCTGATGATGCATTCTGTATATCCGTGGGTATCGACAGCATGATATTCTATAGCAATGGTGAGCGACATCTTACATCATTGGGCTTGAACCTGAAATAATAGTGGACTGACGAGGAGATGACCAAGAATAATTTCATCTCCTAATTTCAAGTGAACCCGGAGAAAATATTAGAATTATCATAGGCTTCTGGTCAGTCATAGTCTACACTGTATGCAGGTGATCATCTGTATCCAGTAATTTCCAATAATTGCTGTATTTCTTGCTTGAGCTTGATTCTGAAAAGAAAAGAAAGTTAAGGTTAGCAAATTAAAAGAAGAAATAGAACAACTTACTGTCAAAAAGTAAGAAAAGAATAGTTGTATATTTTGATGATGAATTTTGAATATCCGTGGTATCGACAGAGCTTCTGGTCAGTCATAATCTACACTGAATGCAGGTGATCATCTGTATTCAGTAATTTACAATAATTGCTGTATTCCCTGCTTGAGCTTGATTCTGAAAAGAAAAAAAAAATAGTTAACGTTGGCAAATGAAAAGAAGAAATAGAACAACTTACTGTCAAAATATATCAAAAGAATAGTTGTGAATTCTCATAATGAATTATTTATATCCGTGGTATCGACAGCATGCTATTCTATAGCAGTAGTGAGCGACATCTTACATCATTGGGCTTGAACCTGAAATAATAGCGACTGACGAGGAGATGACCAAGAATAATTTCATCTCCTAATTTCGCGAACCCGGAGAAAATATTAGAATTAAGGCAGAGCTTCTGGTCAGTCATAGTCTACACTGTATGCAGGTGATCATCTGTATCCAGTAATTTCCAATAATTGCTGTATTTCTTGATTGAGCTCGATTCTGAAAAGAAAAGAATGTTAAGGTTAGCAAATTAAAAGAAGAAATAGAACAACTTACTGTCAAAAAATAAGAAAAGAATAGTTGTATATTTTGATGATGAATTTTGAATATCCGTGGTATCGACAGAGCTTCTGGTCAGTCATAATCTACACTGAATGCAGGTGATCATCTGTATTCAGTAATTTACAATAATTGCTGTATTCCCTGCTTGAGCTTGATTCTGAAAAGAAAAAAAAATAGTTAACGTTGGCAAATGAAAAGAAGAAATAGAACAACTTACTGTCAAAATATATCAAAAGAATAGTTGTGTATTCTCATAATGAATTCTTTATATCCGTGGTATCGACAGCATGATATTCTATAGCAGTAGTGAGCGACACCTTACATCATTGGGCTTGAACCTGAAATAATAGCGACTGACGAGGAGATGACCAAGAATAATTTCATCTCCTAATTTCGCGAACTGGGAGAAAATATTAGAATTAAGGCAGAGCTTCTGGTCAGTCATAGTCTACACTGTATGCAGGTGGTCATCTGTATCCAGTAATTTACAATAATTGCTGTATTCCCTGCTTGAGCTTGATTCTGAAAGGAAAAAAAATAGTTAACGTTGGCAAATGAAAAGAAGAAATAGAACAACTTACTGTCAAAATATATCAAAAGAATAGTTGTGTATTCTCATAATGAATTCTTTATATCCGTGGTATCGACAGCATGATATTCTATAGCAGTAGTGAGCGACACCTTACATCATTGGGCTTGAACCTGAAATAATAGCGACTGACGAGGAGATGACCAAGAATAATTTCATCTCCTAATTTCGCGAACCCGGAGAAAATATTAGAATTAAAGCAGAGCTTCTGGTCAGTCATAGTCTACACTGTATGCAGGTGGTCATCTGTATCCAGTAATTTACAATAATTGCTGTATTCCCTGCTTGAGCTTGATTCTGAAAAGAAAAAAAAATAGTTAACGTTGGCAAATGAAAAGAAGAAATAGAACAACTTACTGTCAAAATATATCAAAAGAATAGTTATGTATTCTCATAATGAATTCTTTATATCCGTGGTATCGACAGCATGATATTCTATATGAACCTGAAATGAAACCTATATATGAACCTGAAATAATAGCGACTGACGAGGAGATGACCAAGAATAATTTCATCTCCTAATTTCGCGAACCCGGAGGAAATATTAGAATTAAGGCAGATCTTCTGGCCAATCTTAGTCTTCATTGTATCCAGGTGGTCATCAGTATGTAGTAATTAACAATGAATGTTGTAGTCCAAGTCGAGAATCCAGCTGAATATCAACAGCATATGTATCTTGAAATCCTACGTGTACAACATACATAGGTATATGTAAAACAATCACAAGTCAAGCTAAAATCTTACTTTTAATGTATGGAACAATTTTTTCTACTTAAATTGATTCAACTCCGTAGAAAGATCCACATCAGCAATCCATCACATTCAATCCGGTGTATCCTTTAAGTACCTCCGCGTGTGTTAAAGTGTAAATGTCGCGTTTCAATATCGTTTATTAGATGCCATCCCTGCTGGTTATACCACCATGCAGTAGTCCCTAACATACCGTACCCCCTAAAAAGATGACATCTTCACTAATAATATTTGAGCAGTCTATCAACCGCGCTGCGTTATCTTAACGTTCTCTAGATGCCATCCCTGCTGGCTATGCCACCAAGCAGTAGTCCCTAACATACCGTACCGAGCTAAAAATATGACATCTTCACTAATAATATTTGAGCAGACTATCAACCGCGCTGCGTTATCTTAACGTTCTCTAGATGCCATCCCTGCTGGCTATGCCACCAAGCAGTAGTCACTAACATACCGTACCGATTTAAAAAGATGACATCTTCACTAATATTATTTGAGCAGTCTATCAACCGCGCTGCGTTATCTTAACGTTCTCTAGATGCCATCCCTGTTGGCTATGCCACCAAGCAGTAGTCCCTAACATACCGTACCGACCTAAAAAGATGACATCTTCACTAATACTATTTGAGCAGTCTATCAACCGCGCTGCGTTATCTCAACGTTCTCTAGATGCCATCCCTGCTGGCTATGCCACCAAGCAGTAGTCCCTAACATACCGTACCGACCTAAAAAGATGACATCTTCACTAATAATATTTGAGCAGTCTATCAACCGCGCTGCGTTATCTTAACGTACTCTAGATGCCATCCCTGCTGGCTATGCCACCAAGCAGTAGTCCCTAACATACCGTACCGACCTAAAAAGATGACATCTTCACTAATACTATTTGAGCAGTCTATCAACCGCGCTGCGTTATCTCAACGTTCTCTAGATGCCATCCCTGCTGGCTATGCCACCAAGCAGTAGTCCCTAACATACCGTACCGACCTAAAAAGATGACATCTTCACTAATAATATTTGAGCAGTCTATCAACCGCGCTGCGTTATCTTAACGTACTCTAGATGCCATCCCTGCTGGCTATGCCACCAAGCAGTAGTCCCTAACATACCGTACCGACCTAAAAAGATGACATCTTCACTAATACTATTTGAGCAGTCTATCAACCGCGCTGCGTTATCTCAACGTTCTCTAGATGCCATCCCTGCTGGCTATGCCACCAAGCAGTAGTCCCTAACATACCGTACCGACCTAAAAAGATGACATCTTCACTAATAATATTTGAGCAATCTATCAACCGCGCTGCGTTATCTTAACGTTCTCTAGATGCCATCCCTGCTGGCTATGCCACCAAGCAGTAGTCCCTAACATACCGTACCGACCTAAAAAGATGACATCTTCACTAATAATATTTGAACAGTGTATCAACCGCGCTGCGTTATCTTAACGTTCTCTAGATGCCATCCCTGCTGGCTATGCCACCAAGCAGTAGTCCCTAACATACCGTACCGACCTAAAAAGATGACATCTTCACTAATAATATTTGAGCAGTCTATCAACCGCGCTGCGTTATCTTAACGTTCTCTAGATGCCATCCCTGCTGGCTATGCCACCAAGCAGTAGTCCCTAACATACCGTACCGACCTAAATAGATGACACCTTCACTAATAATATATGAGCAGTCTATCAACCGCGCTGCGTTATCTTAACGTTCTCTAGATGCCATCCCTGCTGGCTATGCCACCAAGCAGTAGTCCCTAATATACCGTACCGAGCTAAAAAGATGACATCTTCACTAACAATATTTGAGCAGTCTATCAACCGCGCTGCGTTATCTTAACGTTCTCTAGATGCCATCCCTGCTGGCTATGCCACCAAGCAGTAGTCCCTAACATACCGTACCGACCTAAAAAGATGACATCTTCACTAATAATATTTGAGCAGTCTATCAACCGCGCTGCGATATCTTAACGTTCTCTAGATGCCATCCCTGCTGGCTATGCCACCAAGCAGTAGTCCCTAACATACCGTACCGACCTAAATAGATGACATCTTCACTAACAATATTTGAGCAGTCTATCAACCGCGCTGCGTTATCTTAACGTTCTCTAGATGCCATCCCTGCTGGCTATGCCACCAAGCAGTAGTCCCTAACATACCGTACCGACCTAAAAAGATGACATCTTCACTAATAATATTTGAGCAGTCTATCAACCGCGCTGCGTTATCTTAACGTTCTCTAGATGCCATCCCTGCTGGCTATGCCACCAAGCAGTAGTCCCTAATATACCGTACCGAGCTAAAAAGATGACATCTTCACTAACAATATTTGAGCAGTCTATCAACCGCGCTGCGTTATCTCAACGTTCTCTAGATGCCATCCCTGCTGGCTATGCCACCAAGCAGTAGTCCCTAACATACCGTACCGACCTAAAAAGATGACATCTTGACTAATAATATTTGAGCAGTCTATCAACCGCGCTGCGTTATCTTAACGTTCTCTAGATGCCATCCCTGCTGGCTATGCCACCAAGCAGTAGTCCCTAACATACCGTACCGACCTAAAAAGATGACATCTTCACTAATAATATTTGAGCAGTCTATCAACCGCGCTGCGTTATCTTAACGTTCTCTAGATGCCATCCCTGCTGGCTATGCCACCAAGCAGTAGTCCCTAACATACCGTACCGACCTAAAAAGATGACATCTTCACTAATAATATTTGAGCAGTCTATCAACCGCGCTGCATTATCTTAACGTACTCTAGATGCCATCCCTGCTGGCTATGCCACCAAGCAGTAGTCCCTAACATACCGTACCGACCTAAAAAGATGACATCTTCACTAATAATATTTGAGCAGTCTATCAACCGCGCTGCGTTATCTTAACGTTCTCTAGATGCCATCCCTGCTGGCTATGCTACCAAGCAGTAGTCCCTAACATACCGTACCGAAGATGACACCTTCACTAATAATATATGAGCAGTCTATCAACCGCGCTGCGTTATCTTAACGTTCTCTAGATGCCATCCCTGCTGGCTATGCCACCAAGCAGTAGTCCCTAATATACCGTACCGAGCTAAAAAGATGACATCTTCACTAACAATATTTGAGCAGTCTATCAACCGCGCTGCGTTATCTTAACGTTCTCTAGATGCCATCCCTGCTGGCTATGCCACCAAGCAGTAGTCCCTAACATACCGTACCGACCTAAAAAGATGACATCTTCACTAACAATATTTGAGCAGTCTATCAACCGCGCTGCGTTATCTTAACGTTCTCTAGATGCCATCCCTGCTGGCTATGCCACCAAGCAGTAGTCCCTAACATACCGTACCGACCTAAAAAGATGACATCTTCACTAATAATATTTGAGCAGTCTATCAACCGCGCTGCGTTATCTTAACGTACTCTAGATGCCATCCCTGCTGGCTATGCCACCAAGCAGTAGTCCCTAACATACCGTACCGACCTAAAAAGATGACATCTTCACTAATAATATTTGAGCAGTCTATCAACCGCGCTGCGTTATCTTAACGTTCTCTAGATGCCATCCCTGCTGGCTATGCTACCAAGCAGTAGTCCCTAACATACCGTACCGACCTAAAAAGATGACATCTTCACTAATAATATTTGAGCAGTCTATCAACCGCGCTGCGTTATCTTAACGTTCTCTAGATGCCATCCCTGCTGGCTATGCCACCAAGCAGTAGTCCCTAACATACCGTACCGACCTAAAAAGATGACATCTTCACTAATAATATTTGAGCAGTCTATCAACCGCGCTGCGTTATCTTAACGTACTCTAGATGCCATCCCTGCTGGCTATGCCACCAAGCAGTAGTCCCTAACATACCGTACCGACCTAAAAAGATGACATCTTCACTAATAATATTTGAGCAGTCTATCAACCGCGCTGCGTTATCTTAACGTTCTCTAGATGCCATCCCTGCTGGCTATGCCACCAGTAGTCCCTAACATACCGTACCGACCTAAAAAGATGACATCTTCACTAATACTATTTGAGCAGTCTATCAACCGCGCTGCGTTATCTCAACGTTCTCTAGATGCCATCCCTGCTGGCTATGCCACCAAGCAGTAATCCCTAACATACCGTACCGACCTAAAAAGATGACATCTTCACTAATAATATTTGAGCAGTCTATCAACCGCGCTGCGTTATCTTAACGTTCTCTAGATGCCATCCCTGCTGGCTATGCCACCAAGCAGTAGTCACTAACATACCGTACCGATTTAAAAAGATGACATCTTCACTAATATTATTTGAGCAGTCTATCAACCGCGCTGCGTTATCTTAACGTTCTCTAGATGCCATCCCTGTTGGCTATGCCACCAAGCAGTAGTCCCTAACATACCGTACCGACCTAAAAAGATGACATCTTCACTAATAATATTTGAGCAATCTATCAACCGCGCTGCGTTATCTTAACGTTCTCTAGATGCCATCCCTGCTGGCTATGCCACCAAGCAGTAGTCCCTAACATACCGTACCGACCTGAAAAGATGACATCTTCACTAATAATATTTGAGCAGTCTATCAACCGCGCTGCGTTATCTTAACGTACTCTAGATGCCATCCCTGCTGGCTATGCCACCAAGCAGTAGTCCCTAACATACCGTACCGACCTAAAAAGATGACATCTTCACTAATACTATTTGAGCAG